TCTTGTTACCTTAAGAACGGTAACGTTACTCTACCATCATTGGAAACTCTTCGCAGAGTTTGGGCCCAGTCGTGTGGATTGACAGTGGGTGGTTCAGACGGTACAACCAGCAGTCCTACCAATCCTACCATTCGTCCACCAGCATCACGACTGTCTTGATAAGTGGGGGTACCTTTTCCTCCTCGGCTCATCTGACCAACGGATTGCCCTGACATTCTGTGCGTGCCCTGAATAGTAGGTACAGGTACTATTACTGGTCAGTAACGGGATGGTGGGTGTTTGGTGGGTAAAGAATGCATCCAAGTTATCTCGCTAGTAGCAATTGAGTGACAGTTGTAAGGGTAGGAACTGCCTATCATATGTACACGTTACACGAACCAGCCATAGAAAGTTATCCAATACAAGGAAATAAACGATGTAATTGTCGATTTATATTTAAATATGGCTGAAGGCAGCTTTTGCGTGTTCACGCTAAAGTCTCGAGAGATAGTCGTCAGACACGAGATAGACTCATTTCCATTCCGTTCTATATCCATATTTGACTTGATATTATTTGTAAATTAAGTAAAACGTTATTCATTTAGTTGTAAAATTGGTCTATCGTACCAACTTCTGGTTTTAGTAAGTGGTTTACGTGTATATGTTTGTCTCCGTTGCTGATGGTTTTGTCAAAACATGTTATGAGACACATAAACATTGTAAAATATTTCGTTTCGGTTTGGCTCAGAATTCGATAAACCATCTTTATGTGGATGAACCCATGGTATCCTATTATACACAGTGGAATGTATCAAAACATAAAACATGATTTTATTATCAGTGCTCTTCCCTTATCAGATCCAATTATTATACTTATACATATATAAACAACATGGCTGCCAGAAAAACAACATGGCTGCCAAATCAACAAAGATGGCCGCCAAATAAACAAATATGTATTAAGTAAATATGTTTTGTTTGTTTTTGTAATAAATGACGAGTGGACCTGGCCGTGAATTAAATCTAAATCAAATTGTTTAGCAAATATTATTTGGTTCAGCTTTCAATGCATAATTCTACTATTTAAAAAGTTGGCTTTGATAATGCAGAACGAGATAATAATTTGAACAAAGGATTATTTATCTGTTGCTATAGATCTTTATCAAGATATTTATCAAGCTCGGTGGTTTTTAAATGAAAATTAGTTATTGATACAAAAAATGAAGAGTTAAATCATATTTTGTAACTGCCTAGGAATTTCAATTACGGATACGTACAAATAACTAACTAAACACTCCTCGGCTCTCCCGATTAGTCGAGTTCCACACACCTTGTTCCCTGTCTTAAAATTTTAACAATGAGTTTTAACGATTCTGGAAACAATCTGCCACCAGAACGATTACATCACTCGTTTTGTAGTAGGATAAAAACATGTTTTGATAGCGTGCTAAATTTGTACGATTTGATTACTTTAGCAGGCTGCGTACACATAATTCGTCTTCTAATCAAGAGACGATACTATTGTTTTGTAATCTTTGGCAATCATTTTCGGAAATGTGGTCGGATTTGATATCTGTTGTTTTGTTAAATATGATTAGAGGATGATATTTGGAGGGCATATGGTAAATATTCTGTGATTAATAATAGCGAGGACAGATTGGATCGTTCAGTTGATCTACAGTGGTTGTTGAAAGAAACTTTAGTTGAATTGATTGACTAAATGAACTGTAACGTTAGATCATAGATATCATAGAATTGTTAGTGTCATTCGATTCTGATTTTAAGAGTAATTTCAAGAACTGACGTAGAGTTTTTGGATTTTCTCTAAGAAGTTGTAGTGATCGATTTAATTGTTAAAGCTGATGTATGAATTTGGGAACAAAATGTTTTAATTGAGAGACTTTCGTTTATTTTTCTGGTTGGATCATCTTTGGATTGCACTCTCTTGACTTCTTTTGGGTAAGTTAAAAATCATATTTTGCAAAAGGTTGCTAATACTTTAACTCATGCTCAAATTGGTCAACTTTTCCGTCCATATTCAGCACAGTAAATCCACTGAGACGATCTCATTCGGGTGGTCGACATATTGAAATAATTATAATCTGGTAATAATTTCCTACCTGATCTTCCTTACCGTGTTTTATGTTCTTAAGTTACAGCGTGAGAACATTGGCATCTAACACTTGACTTCTGGAACACATCCAGCATGACTATCTTTAACTAGTTAACAATTAATAGTGCTTGAGAACTGTAGAGTAAAACCCTTGGTTCATTAGCTCCGCAAAAAAACTTGCCATCACAGAGAAACAATGAGGTGCCTTACCGGGAAAAACCTAACAAAGGACTGGAATCATTTTGAGGTCCTGCAAGATCGACACAAAGAAACGCGATCCAGCCTTAGTTCTGTCTCAGCAAAAGCTTGTTTTAATTTAGAAGCTTCACAAGGTCACAACCAAAAGTCTTGTGGACTATCAGATCGGTTCATTATAACTTAAACAACAATGACCCTGAAAAATCTAAGTATAGAGCATACCCTGAGAACAAAAGTACCTCAGTGGTCTTTAAACGTCAAGTCCATGCTATCAGTGTTGATCGTGTAGCAGATATAACCTGGTATGTTTACAATCATTAATTCAGACAGACACTTGACTGTTGATACATAAGTCACATATTGTAGGCATTTGCGTCATTACATTGGCTCTTTACAAATTACAGACTGGCCATAGCTAACCAGAAAGCCAATAATTGTTGAAATCTCTGGCATGTTGGCTTTCATTATAAATAAACAGAAAAACGAAATATGAGCACATAAATTGTGGGTAGCCTCAACAGCTGTTGGCAAGTATTTGTATCTTCGAGTGTATTGTTTACCAGGCGATGTTAAGTGGGGTTCTCTGGTCCTGAATACAAACAATGAACTGATATCTCAGTCCTAGCCACTGATCTAAAACCAAAATCCAGAGCCACTGACAAAGTTAATAAAGTTGATAACAAGAACAGGAGTATATCACCGCGAAGGATCATTAAGATATACGTATATCACTTTACCACTATACCATTCATAGCTCTGTGGACTCTCTACGAGAGATGTGGAGTCTTCAAAACCATTCACAATGTTACATCATAAGCTCCGGATGTTTGTTAGAGCATGCTCTGTTTCGCTAGGATAGCACTTACTAGTAAAAGAAATCATCGAAGTGAAGGTACTATTACAAACTAATGATGATATCTACCAGTATATCTTAGCTTTAGTGCTCATAGTCTTCTGCCCTATTTTTTTTAAGTATGTTAGTTGTGTACTCCTGTCGATGCATGTTTTCATCGGAATTTTAGTTTTTGGGTTAATGGCAATTTATACTAAGACTACTTGAAACTGATGAGCTTTTAGACTGAAGTTAGATTGAAGTAAAAAAAAATGTAAAACTATGGTTTGAAAATCTCATTAAGAAGATCTCTATTTGAGATAAGTTGAATGCTACATGCGTTAAGCCATGAAGAAAGAACAATCACCTTATCTCCAGTCTTCATCAAACTCATTGGCTGATTTCTAAGATATTTTTATTGTGGCTTTTTTCAATTTCCAAAACGTGAACTGTAGATCAAACACCAACGAACGCAGGAAGAATTTGGCAAGATGCTGGAGGGCTCTTCTTCAATTGTAATGAAATTTGTTCGGCCCACAAACTCTTTTGGGCATCCTTACTTATATTATATGTTCGGCAAACAAGCCAACCGTTGGTCTAAAGAAATGACCTGCCTTATATCGCCATTGATCTCATTTAGTCATTCAAACTTGTTAAAGTTATAGTGCACTGACTGATTCCTAAAAGAAGATCTGGAAATGACTTTTACAAGACATTAACCTATTTGAAGGACAGATAAAAAACGTGAAGTGAAGCAAAAAAAATTCTTTACAACAAGTTTAATGTAAAATTCTTGTTCCCTGGTTTACAGTAATTATAAATCTGTATCATTTACAGACGTAATATGTTTACAAAAACTTGTTCCAAAAACAAATAGCTCTCAACGTAATGATATACAATATCGGGCCATTGTTAATTGGCAATTTTCTTAGATATACACTGGTGAAACTGATCGACATATACAATTTAGAAAAATATCATCGAGTTATTGCCAGAGTTATGAGGAAAATGAGAAATTACATTGTTTAATGTGCGTGGATTACATTGTCTGAATTTCTAAAGTAATGAAGTCGACACGGGGAGAGATGATATAAGATATAGCAAGGTGGTTGGTTGCTTTACTCGTTTGTTCACGATGTAGCTGATATGATAAGCTCTTACTGGCCTGTTCTTATCGACACCTGCGAAATCACTGACGCAGTAAGCTTTAAATGCGTTGTATCATTAACATATTCAAATCGTCACAAGCAAATACGTGGCCGACCCGACGCAGCAAAGATATGCGTTGCGTTACATATATTCTGATAAAGCATATGCAGCAAGGTGGTGGTTGGTTACGTTATTGACATGTTCATATGGACAACAGCGAAGAGTATCTGACTCAGTTAACTCGGTTCTGGACGACTCTGAAAGTAACTGATGGTTGCTTGTTAAAATTTAGGTTGTGCAGAAATAAAAAGTTCAATTGCAACAAATTGCTTATGATTTTAAAACTCTACGTAAGGTTCGGTTGTTTGATTATTGCTCTCTACTCGAGTTAATAATTCAATCAAGACCATGATTATTATAAGAATTATTTCGATGGGAAAATGACAGGTTATCGATAAAAATGCCAGAAAAAAAGCATGGTACGTGATGTTTTTATTAGCATTTCAGAATATATTCTCCATCCTCTGTCAGATATTCAGGTTGGCTGGTTTTTAATAAGCTAACAGGAAGAGGAAGAATTCCCGGCCATTGCTCCACGTTTTTGTATGAATATTATATCATGTGACGTTGTTTTTGTACCCAGAAAAGACTTGGTAGAACATTCCTATTATTGCTAAAAAGGATATGTCATTGGTTGTTGAAACGGCATTTATTACACAACTATTAGCAATGCATCTACAACTCGAAGCTAATGACTGTCAACTCAAACCTAGTGACTGTCAACTCGAAGCTAGTGACTGTCAACTCAAACCTAGTGACTGTCAACTCAAACCTAGTGACTGTCAACCCGAAGCTAGTGACTGTCAACTCAAACCTAGTGACTGTCAACTCGAAGCTAGTGACTGTCAACTCAAACCTAGTGACTGTCAACTCGAAGCTAGTGACTGTCAACTCAAAGCTAGTGACTATCAACTCGAAACTAGTGACTGTCAACTCAAAGCTAGTGACTGTCAACTGTAAGTTTATGACTGTCAACAGGAAGTTTGGTACCATCAACCGGAAGCTATTGACTGTAAACCGGAAATTTGGTACCATCAAACGGACGATTTGTAACTGTCAACCGGGAGTTTGGGACTGTTAACCGGAAGTTCTGTACTACAGCAAGAGAACTCTTCAACAAGAAGTCGTAAAACGCCATTTGGTCCGTTATTGCTACTGTTTTGAAATGTCATTTGAATAACTGTCTGGTGATGCCATAAAAACTTATTCTATTCATAGACTCTTTCAGATTAATGTGTGTTTTAATTTCCTAGCTCGGGGTTGTGGTGTTCTTTTCTATATTGGGCTTGGGCTTGAAAAGGATGTGTTCGCGCGTCTTATTCAGCAGGTCCTTCTTGTTGTATTTAAGGGTAATTTGAATGTCTAGTTTGTAGACTTACTGAAATCATTTCGGACAGAAGCTATGTCCTCTACAAACCCACCCACGCACCTCATTACAGACGTTACTAATAATCTAGCTGGTAGCCCTATTATCATGGATTCATTAATTCATTTCATTCAGTGTATTAGAAATTACTAGTACATAACATTGTATTTCATTTCATTTAGATTAACCAGGTCCTTGAAAGACCTTGGCTCGTTCGCTAAATGATTTGTCGTCGAAGCAATTACATCTACTGACGACCAATAAAGTCCGACTTTAATCGCATTTCGTCTTCATCATAATACTATTAGTATTCCGATCGCTACTCGATTAATTAATTCAATCTCCAAATCTCAGTTAATTCGCCATTATTAACAAAAGCAAGATTTCCACGGCCATTAAGCGACTTCACAAATCCCTAGTCTCTTGGCAACCATTTCAAGTCCTGCAGTAAATGGTTGTCGTAAATTGTGATTGGTGAGCAATTATCATCAGTATAAATTCAATCAATTAATTTGATTCCATTTAGTGCGGAGCTAGATTACCGGAACAAATAGATCCTGTCATATCAAACTTTGATGACCAGTTTCTATTTTCCAGTCGTTTATCGCTATATAAGCCTGCTTTTATGAGGTTACCAGTCATTCGAGACTACACGTTCTGCTTGACAATCATTAGATGTCCGACAGTCTTGTTTGACCTTGAAGATCATAAAGGTCACTTCCTCACGCGATCTGGACGTCAGACGACTTCCAATTCTAATCCCGCGTCTTTTGTTGGCATTTGTTGAAAGAGATGACAGTTCCTATTGGATATTGTGTTCGTATTCACTTATTTTGACGTTGTTTTGAAGGTCGAAGGTTCGATTGGATTTTGTTGTCTGTAAAAAAATCGATTCTGTATAGGGCTGCCAATTTGTTGAATGAAAATATTTAGCATTTTGTATCCGAGTCAATCTGGGTTCTCTTTGTAGGTAGACCTAATGCAGATTGAGGAAACTGGCACATCAGAAGGGCCTTTACACCAGGAGGGTCTTTACGTCAGAAGGGTCTTTACGTCAGAAGAGTCTTTACGTCAGAAGGGTCTTTACGTCAGAAGGGTCTTAATGTTTGTAAGGATGCTTACAGTTCGAATTGGGTGGATGAATAAGTGCTGTCACCTCACCTCACCTAGTGATCGTCTAAACCAGTCTTATAAAGTCAATTTAATTCAAAATTATGTTATGCTCGTAAACATTACTATCACTTCCCACACAAACCCCGGGGAATAAGTTTAAAGTTGTCTCGTATTTCTTTGAATAAGGATTGAAAAAAGTAGGACATGAATCATTTTGTTATAATTTTTAAAGATTAATCATTTAATAGGAAACAAGAAGCTATGGTTGTTCAACTTTGTCGATTAGCACATTTCCCTCGAGTCTTCTCAGTTTCTTTCTGCCATGTTTTTGTCATGATTTCAAGATTGATTACATTTATGAATTTGATTTTCGGAATAATTGTCTGTCGAGAATGTCCAGACCGATTGCTGAATAAAATGGAATAGGTACGTTAAGGTTGGATGATGTTCAAAATTTGATAAGATTGCCCAGACCGATTGCTGAATAGAACAGGAAGAAGTAGACACATGTATATTATGACTAGATGATCTAGTCTAAAATTTGTTAAGGGGCGTGGTTTAAACGACTTTGCTACAAAGTGACGTAACTTCCTTGAAGCGTTATGATTTCAAACGCTGTAATGTCCCCAATTAGCCTAGCAATGACCTGTAAACTAGGGGACGTAACTTCTGTGAACTTTCTTCATTTCCAATGCAATAATGACATTACGTAACAAGTGCAAATCGAACTACGTGTTGAAAATGAGCTTATTAGTGTCAATGTCTCGGATAATTAGGACAATCAAGAGGTTCTTATTATGTCATTATATTCAATTAAGGATCCGTATTGTTCTGGGTTATGTCATTGATGCTTGAATCGAACGCACCTGATCTGTAATATATGCATGATACCGCCCACTTCTTTCGATAGTTAAGATCGAATGCGCCTGAGATGTGCCCCGGGACTGAGGCTGACTCGACTTTGACCCCCAAATTATCAACATTTACCCCTACCCAACAATAAACATCCGAACAAGCAAGACAATTCTGTTAATCAAAATCTCACCCAAAGTATGGCAAAATCGAGAATAAAAGTTGTATAGTAGTGGACTCCTCCACAATCAGGTGTTTCGAAAAGAGTACGCATGTTATACAGTGTTATTTAATTGTGGTTCCTACCATCTGGGATGACTATTGGACCAGACCATGTCGACTCAGTAGAACTCCGAGATGACAGAAGATCTGTTAGATAAAAGGTCAAGATATAGAAAATACACTCTGGGGAATACTCTGATTGATTTTTGTATCATTAACACAAATTACGACTACTGTAAATTTCTGAATTAAATTGAACGGAGTTTTACGTTCTATTTGTGTGTAAATTAGATACGATCTGGTTAGGATTAAGGTATCTTGATAGTTCCCAGCTCGTACTGCTGAGCACAAAGAGGAAATTCTTCCTTACCCTTACAAAAAATTCATAATGGCAGAAGTTTCATTATGAAGGTCTGTTCACGTCTCGCCTGACGATGTGGTCTGTTGAAGATTCACGTGACTCGGTCGTCTGCAACATGTGATGATTTATCATTGTGTTGGTGAGAACTATGAAGCAACAGCAGATTCGTCGCAGATCTGTCTCACTAGGTGGCGTGATGTGATATATCACTTCCGGTTTGCTTTGATTGGATTTGTCCTCCTTCAGCTATTGGACGTGAGGGAATTGAAAGTCAGATTTGTTTTATATTGGTCTGTTTTATACGCCAAGGGGGATATATTATTAATAAAATTCATGTAACTCTTCTAAATATGTTTGATATCCGATGGTAATTTCCCATAATATGTAGAGAATCTTTTGACGTTAAGTCGATTTTGATTGGTTCAGGACGGCGGGGTTACCTTGGGCAGAATGTTTTCATCTAATCCAACTTTATTCCTACATCATATTTGAATAAACTGAACAAGCAACTGTATTTCAATTGCCCAAGAACCAGCGTTTTATGAGGAGATATACGTCAACAATATGGTTCGTTCTTGCATCACATTGGCATTGACTTCATGATTCATTAGCCGGGAACCAATTAATTGTCCAAAGTAATATGCTCTCAATTAGCGCTTCTGATTGGATCTAGTTTCATTATTTGATTAGAAATTTCTTTGACGTCATATCAATTTTGATTGGCTATGAACCAAAATGATTGACAAGGAATTATAAATACATTCCTTTCATTACGTGCTATCTGGAATCAATTAACAATAGAGAAAATAAGAGTCGGAGTTTATCATATCATCATTTCTTCAAGAGGTCTGGTATTTCACGCTGATAGCAGACTTGTAGCAACATATTACCGCCGTGTTCATAGTTTCCATTTCACTGGGTTCTAAGTCCACTTACCATACTTTACGGTAGAAGTTGCTGATTTCAGGTGATAGGTACAGACAGATTTCGTTGGATTAGCTTGCAATTCAGCGTCTTTTCTACAAAAACTAAACTCGGGAGTAAAGTGGCTTCAACTTTGTGATTTGTATTGACTTTTAGAAGAAGGCTTCTGATAATTGGACGGGTAGAGTACTGGATTGGTATATGCTGGTTTTCTGTTCCACCTTTTACCAGTGCTCTTCTGAAGTTTACGTGAACATGGTGTTTTGACGGACCTTCTGTTTGACCAAGCAGCCAACGGAAGAGTGCTGTTTGGTGATTTTTGTCGCGCCTTTGAGATACTCGAATCCTGCTGTTTGTTTCTGAGGATCATATTTGTATTATGTAGCGGTGATCTGATTCTACCATCTTTTGAATTGAACGTGTTCATACTTTGGAAGTGGTGACTTTTAATTCGGATTACTGAGTTCGTTTTGCCGTAACCTTCCATTGAAATCTGCATTTCGTTTTAAATTTCATAATATTTTAGTTAATTTGAAAAGGTAGGAAAATTAATTTTATTACCCCCCTCCTCTATTTTAATTAACCATTTTATTCATTCATTCATTCATTCTCTTTTTTCATTCATTCATTCATTCACTTTGTATACTAAATATGCACCTCCGCACCTCGTACAATCGTTGATGATTTTAATTTACCAATAAATGTCTTAAATTCAACTCATTTCTTAAACAAATAAATAAGATAATGGTTTTTTCCGCCTCGCTCGTTCCAATATGATAAGATGGTAGACGTATTTGTCATGCGTCTAAAAGTGTAGATGGAATCTTTTCCTTACCCCCCCCGGGGAGACGAGCAGAGAGCACGTCATCAGGCCATTACAAAGATCTACCGACCTGATACTAGGGTTTGGAATTGAACGAACCCCTCGAGAGAATTGAAATTTATTTCATATAAAGGTACAATATTGCGTTAAGAGATATTGGTCAAGTCGGAGGATTCGAACCCATGTCAATACAGAAGTCAATTTGTGCAAGACTGGTGTATTGATATAAGAATTTCTATATATAGGGTAATAACCGATCTCGTCGTAAAAAGATATCAAACTAAGTCAGACACCCCTAC